ATTATTATTATTATTTTGTATTTGGTACAGGGTCTCACTACACAGCTCAGACTTGTAGTGATCCTCCTACTTTCAGCCTCCCCAGTACTGGGATTACAGGCATGTGCCACTATGCCTGGTCTCCATGGCTAGCTCAGTGTGCCTGGGGGCAAGGCTGGTGCGGCCTGTGGTGCTGAGGACCACACTCTGGTCCCTGCGCTTGTCTAAGCAGGTTCTTTGTCAGCTGAGCTATCTCACTGGGCCCAAAAAGCCTTTATTTACATTTATTTATTTATTGAGGTACTAGGAATTGAACTTGGGACCTTGCACTTGCCAGGCAGGTGCATAAGCTGAGCTACTGTTATTATTTCAGAGATGGGTAAGACAACTGCACTCAGTAGTGTAGTTAACTTGTCTATCTATATTTAGTATCTAACTCTGGGGTTTGTGGCCTTAGTACTGGCTGTTTTGAAAACACAATCTGCAGCTTTACTCACTCTTTACCTCCTGTATGAACACAGCCTGGTAGGTGCAGGTGCTCAATAAATGTTAGGATTGACACTGTCACATTGTTTCTTGTAGGTAATTTTTTTCCCTGCTGTGGCGGACTGAATTATGTCTCCCACTGTTACACCTTCGTGGTGTAGTTCTTGGTTTATGAAAGATCAGAACAGTATCAAGCACTCTCCTTGTGTTCTACTGACATCTGTGCCTAATTATTTATCCATTCTTCATACCCACAGTTAGACCAAGGAAGCGCTCCTCTTGCTGGAACAAACAAAGAAACCACCATTCAAGGTAGGGACTATGTCTACTGATATGAATCATTACTACATAGGCTACAAACAATGTGGGTAAAGAAAGGAGCAAGGGAAAACAAAATGTGCATATTACTGTAGCTGTAGAACATTCATACTTCACTTTCCAAACCCAGTTCCATTTAATAACTGTGCAATCTCAAGGTGGTCATTTAAATGTTCTGAGCTTCAATTCTCTTACCTTAAAATGATAGCAACAATACTTGGCAAGAGAGTTTTGGGGATAATACTAGATAATGTAATGCTTACCAGCATACCTTCCACAGAAGGTATTCTGTAGCTAGAATTATTATCTTAAAAGAAAATACATAGCAGTAATATAAAGGAAATCCTTAGACTCTGAGATAAGACAGACCTAGATTCAAAGCCTTGTTCTTCCACATGCTACATGGACAATTTTGCAAGGTATGACCCAAGATAACATTTATTAATTACAGCACTGGGTTAGCTAAGCAGAACCTCAATTCCAGTGCTATCACTTTTTAGCTGTTCAAACTTTATGAAAAAAAAAATCACTTAACCACATGGAGCCTTGCTTTCCAATTCTGTAAAAGGAGTTTGATATTAACTATCAGTGTGACCTTTTATTCTACTTGTGAAGTATTCAGCATATACGTCAGAACATATTTATTGAGTCTTGATCTTTTAGCCCAGCACTGGGATGCATGTTCCTTTGCTTGAATATGATCAGTCCTAAAACTTTGTGGACAGAGCTAAGTCAGGGAGCCATCATTCACTGTATCAGAGGACTTACATAGGTTTAAAAAAAGCCTCTACTCTTCTGTGACTTGCAGGGCTTGATGGCCTCTCCGAGCGCTGTGCCCAGTACAAGAAAGATGGGTGTGACTTTGGGAAGTGGCGTGCTGTATTGAGGATTGGTGATCAGTGTCCCTCCAGCCTTGCTATCCAGGAAAACGCCAATGCTCTGGCTCGCTATGCCAGTATCTGTCAACAGGTGCTCTGCCTTCCCCTGGGGCTAAGTAACTACAGGTTTCTCTCACATCCCTAGTCCTGATGAAAATAATTTCTTGGAGGTTGGTGACTTGAAGCTAAGTTTTCCAAACAACATAGACTTAAGTATCTCTAGATCAAAGATAAGTTTGATTTACACCTGTGGGTACTATGTTGGGGTTACCTGTGAATTCTCACTTAGAATTATAAAAGCTTGAATCTCTTAATGACAAGCATCTTCCTCAGTGACTTAAACTTGGCTGCTCTCATAGGATGACAGTTAGTTTGAGGTAGCTAAAATAATCTCTATAACATGATGTAGAAATTAAGGCATCATTTTAATATTTCTTCCATTCCTGAAAATCTTTTAAGTTCAGTGTCCCTTAAGTTCACTAGATGCCCCCTCAACTTCTTTTACTAATTTAACTCATTTATATAGCAGACCTTCATAAGCGCTTCTTTCTTACCAACTGCATTTGTTAAATTTGCTTCCATGGAAAGGTGCACAGTGAGCACAGGCTCACTTTTGTCCCACCTTGCCTCCATTTTTTGTTGTTTGTTTGTTTGCTTGCTTGTTTTAGAATGGGCTGGTACCTATTGTTGAACCAGAGGTGATTCCTGATGGAGACCATGACTTGGAACACTGCCAGTATGTGACTGAGAAGGTATGTCCTAAATATAAAGCTCCTAATTCCAGTTGAAAATCCCTTGTTTTAATTAGGAGTGGTCATTTTTCTCCTAGTACTGAGGATTGGATCCAGGATTGTGCCTGCTAAGTAAGCACCATGCTATCACTGAGGTAATCCCCAGCCCTGGTAGCTGTTCCATAGTATATAAGAGCTGTTAGCTTTGAAGTAGCCTTTAGCTTAGAATCAGTACGTATCATAGAAACAGAAAGGAGCTGCTGGTCAGCCTTTCACTTGGTATGTGATACTTGCCTCTTATGGAAGGGAAAAAAATCAGGATTTCCAGGCAAGGCTTAGATTGGAGAATCTACTTTCCCATTTGTGGGACTTCGGGCAAGTCATGTTCTCTCTTTTGGACCACAGTTCCAATATATGTACACAAGAAATTTTAAAATACCACCTGAGGTTCATATAAGAAAATGCAATTAGAAACTGAGCTGTTCGTTGGGCCTGCCAGAGAGCTCAGTGGACTAAAGCACCTGCTTAGGCAGAGTGCAGTTGCTGGGGTAAGATCCCCAGTGTGTCGTGCTGGCCCAGCCCCCAGAGCACGTTGTGACAGCGATTGAGAGTGGGAGTGGTGGCATGTACCTGTAATCCCAGCACTTGGGAGGCTGAAAACAGATTAATCACTATGAGTCCGATCTACATAGTGAAACCCTGTACACCCTGTAGACCCTGCCTTAAATTCATAAAAAAAGAAAAAAAAAAGTATACTGTTCATGTTTGACTTTCTAAATAAATCACAGTAGTTCTGCAATAAGGCTGTCTTCTTCATACCTTGTGAGAAAGTATGAGAAACATAACATTAACTGGATTTGAGGGACTTATGGGTTAGCTCAGTAGTTTAAGCACCTGCTCAGGCAAACCCAGTCAGGCGCGGCGGGCCACAGTTCGATCCCTAGCTCCACATGCCTTACCAGACCCGCCCTTAAAGCAGCCTGAGCTAGGAAAAAAAAATCTGATCTGGATTTGATTTCTCTACTTGCAAAATTATGTGGGTTTAAATGAGATTTAAAAAATGTAAAATATATGTTTTCAATGATTGTTCATTCACCTTCTCTGGGTGGGGATGAAAGGTGGAGGCCAGTTTAGGTATCCCCAGCTAGCTAAATCAAGACAGCCTCATTAGGGGATGACACTGAGCAAAAGTGTAATGGGAAGCATGGTGGGACAGGTCTCTAGGAAGCAGAGCCATGCCAGCAGCTCATGTAATCAAACATTAGAGTTAGAGTCGGGGAATAGTCCATCTTGGTTGTCCTCAGTGGTTATAATTTGCACACAATGTCCAAATGGGGTAAGGAGGTCGATTTAGAAGCTTTGCTTAAGAACATATGGGAATTGCTTCATCCTGTGTCCTTGTGGTATAGAAGCATCGAGGTCAATATCTCTGAGACTGATCTGATTTGAGCTATTTGGTTCCTTTTGTCTTTTAGGTCCTGGCTGCTGTCTACAAGGCCCTGAATGACCATCATATTTACCTAGAGGGCACCCTGCTAAAGCCCAACATGGTGACTGCTGGACATGCCTGTACCAAGAAGTATACACCAGAGCAAGTGGCTATGGCTACTGTCACCGCTCTTCACCGTACTGTTCCTGCAGCTGTTCCTGGTAGGGCTTTCTTTATTTTGTAACTCAAGGTCATAGTGTTCATCCTTTATGAGAGTACCACAACATTTTCTGCTTTCTATCATTGAAACAGACCTCCGCTATCTGTATCAGCTGGCACTTGCCTTCCTACTATGTGATGCTAAACACCACGAGTCTGTCTATCAGCTCACATCCATTTATTTAGTTGACATTTATTAAAACTCTTTTCTCCTCAGGTCAACCAATCTTAGCAAATTAAAATTGATTTCATTGGCTCAATCTCACTTGAATCAAGTAGAGAAAATATTGAGATGTTGTATTTCTTTTAGGCATACTAATTGCTTAATCAGAGAACAGCAGCTGGGATCAATACAGTGGAATGGTTTCTCTCCTTTTAGGCATCTGCTTTTTGTCTGGTGGCATGAGTGAAGAGGATGCTACTCTCAACCTCAATGCAATTAACCTTTGCCCTCTACCAAAACCCTGGAAACTAAGTTTCTCTTATGGAAGGGCCCTCCAGGCCAGTGCATTGGCTGCCTGGGGTGGCAAGGCTGCTAACAAGAAGGCGACGCAGGAAGCCTTTATGAAAAGAGCTGTGGTAAGATACTTCTGCCTCTTATTTACTTCATCAGGTTGATATTTGGGACTTAATGTTCTTGCATGGAGAAGAATTGTTCCTCAGTGACAAAAACGATTTCTACAGAGAGTGTCTACTGGGTATTTGGAAGTAGATTACGAAAGCACAGTAGGAAGACTGGAGCCAGAAAGAGTTTTGAATTATTACACTTGGGGTAGAGCTGATAGCAGGAGATTGCAGAGCAGTTTCAACAGAAGCACGTTTGTGGGAAGAAGATAAGAGTAGTGAGGGCTGACTTTGCCATGTATTTCATTTTGAGAAAATGAACATGAGGAGCCACCACAAAATCAGAAATTATGTGGGAGGATGAATGAAGGACTTGCAAATAGGCAGAAAAGAATTTCAGAGCCAATAGTACTATGTTACAGAAAGACCTTTTTTTAGAAGGTTGACAAAAGTCACTGAGACTGGCATTTAGGAACATACAGTGACCTGAGCAGAACAGTTCTAGTAGAGAAAGAAGGGAGGTGTCTGTGTAAGTAGTTTATAAGGAAAGACTCAAGAAAATATTGGGAGAAATGAGGACCAAGAAAAAAAATTTAGTCAATTGTAGCCACTAATTTTTAAATATTTTCTGTGAGCCAAAGACTTGGGCAGAAGAATCAAACATACTCTCTATGCTTAGGAAGCTTGGAATGTAACAAAATAGGAGAGTGGGTGATATTTATATGTAAAACAAAATGAGAGTATGGGACAGTGTGGGCAACGTGGGGCTGGACGGGTGCCCCAGAGGGTCACATCGCAGCGACGCGGGAAGTCTGGACTAGGAAGCAGAAGAGGATTTCTGTGGCAGCCGAGCCTCGGGCTCCTGCGTTGGCCATGGCTGAGAGGCCCGAGGACCTAAACCTGCCCAATGCCGTCATTACCAGGGTCATCAAAGAAGCACTCCCAGATGGTGTCAACATCTCCAAGGAGGCCAGGAGCGCAATCTCCCGCGCAGCCAGCGTCTTTGTGCTGTACGCCACATCCTGTGCCAACAATTTCGCGATGAAAGGGAAACGCAAGACACTCAATGCCAGTGATGTGCTCTCGGCCATGGAAGAGATGGAGTTCCAGCGGTTTATTACTCCGTTGAAAGAAGCTCTGGAAGCATATAGGCGGGAGCAGAAAGGCAAGAAGGAAGCTTCAGAACAGAAGAAGAAGGACAAAGACAGAAAAACAGATTCAGAAGAGCAAGACTGGAGCAGGGATGAGGATAATGATGAAGATGAAGAAAAGCTGGAAGAAGAAGAACAGAATGAAGAGGAGGAAGTAGACAACTAATATAGACTGTGGCACTGTGGAAGCCACCACACTGATACATGGTGTATGTTTATGTGATGCTTTTCCCTGCTGGGCAGAGTAGTCTTAGGCACAGGTGCCTGGGAGATCAGAGTAAAAACTGACTGTAATTATCATCAAAACCAGCATTTCACTGACTCAGAGCTTCTGAGTAGCAGAATCCTCTTTTGTTTAATCAGTTTGAAGGTTATAACTTTGTTGGCAAGAGGGATTCTGAACAGCTAATTCAATTAGCAATGTGTTATTTTGTTTACTTATGTGTATGGTGATACACTTTTTTTAATCACCAGTCTTCCTGCCCCTTCAAAAAAATAACTTCCATGCTGCCTGCTATGGTCCAGATCACAGAGGCAGTGAAGGCTCAGGAAAAAATAGAACTTTGATCGTGGTCAGCCATATTTGATTCACAGTAGCTTATTAAGAATGTTCAGAATGGGCTGCCCATGACATGCCTGTAATCTCAGCTGTGTGGGAGGCTGAGACAGGAGAATTAAAGAGTTTTGAGCCCAATCTGAACAACTCAATGAGGCCCTGTCATCCCGACCCCAAAAATAGATAAAAGAGCCTGGGTATGTAGCTTAGAATTCCCTCACAACTGTGGGGTTTGTTTTTTTGTTTTTAAAGATAATTTGTTCTATGGTTTTTTCACTTGACAGCATTAATTGAGTTCAATTTTCTCTAAAACTACCTGGCTTTGGGCCTTCCTGCGTTGCCTGTAGGCATCTGACCTGTGCGGGTGGTTGCGCTCTGGGCACAGTGTGCTCTTAAGTTAGCAGTGTACTTTGGAAGTCATCAAACAAACAAGAATGTTTTACAAAACAGATGACTTATTCCTAGGTTTACCTCACCCCTGCCACGGTACAGTTTAGAATTTATTGTCACCTCCTGAAAAGTGTAAAATCTGAGGCTTATTAGCTCTTATTAGGTCCATCTCCCAGACTTGTGGCTATGATTTTTCATTTTTATTCCTGACAAGTTAAGGGCTTTGTTCCATCCAAGCACAACATTTTCCCTCTGTGCTTCTTGCTTTTTATTTCTTGTCTTCCTGTCCTCTGCTTTCTGTTCCCACTTGCTCTCCCTTTCTAATTCATGTGCAAATCTAGCAACTTTGAACATATGCTCATATCCCAAAATGCAGGTTCCTTAATTCTGATCTGTGGCCTAAAAAGGATTTTGTGAGCCAAGCTTAGTGGCACATACCTGTAATGCCAGCACTTGGGAGGCTGCAGCAGGGGAATTGTCGCAAGTTCAAGGGCAGGCTGAACTACTTAGCAAGGCCCTTTCTCAAAATAAAAAAGATTTTGTGAAAGTCCTCTGAATATTGAGAAAAATCTGATGGTGCTCAGGAATCTAACCCCTTAGCCTGGCCATCCCCTCGAGCTGCTTCTAAAGTGTCTGTGAACTTTTCTTAGCCTTTTCTCTTTCCAATTAGTGTTCTAGGCGCCTTTCTCTCTCAGTTGAGCACTCGGGATTTGACAGGTATAGTGTAGTTTGACACTGTTAACTTGTTAAATGCAAAGTTTGTTCATAAGTGACTGATAACTGTTGAGATTATAATGCTTTGTACAAATAAAGAACATTTTCTTGTTTAAAAAAAAAAATGAGCCCAAGGAGAGAGTAATGATTGAGGAAGGATAATTGAAGACAGGACTTAGAGGACATAAAGCTATGTAAGATTAATAATGATTAAAAGTGGCATTGATGGCCTCAAAGACAAGGATGAAGAAGACAGAAAATAAAAAAGAAGATGGGTTTGGAATCCATTTGATAAAAGTGAAAATTGTACTGATTACATTATTGTCAGCACTGATTAGGATTGCTGAGACTAATAAAGAAATGGATATTTTAATCATAACAGTGGGGAAGATGAGAGTAACTATGAAATCTTCTAGAAACTAACCAGACATTATTGTTGGCTATAACCAAGCATCAAATAAGGCGAAGCTGGAATGAAGTCCAATTTGTGATACATTAGTTTAGTTGTTGAATTTTCATAATAGCTTTAATGCATTCAGAGAGAGTTGCATAAACCAATAAAAAATCAGGGTAAATAAATATTTTATAGGAAGAAGGAAGGGTGCAGAATTTTACTGATTATATCATTTAGCTTGCTCACTATGGTATAGGAGGTAGGCAAGAAACCAAGTTAGTCAAATGCTTGGTGATGAGGTCCTAAAGGAAAGGAAAGCACAGACAGGCTGAGCTGGAGCTTAAGAAAGTGTAATATTTTAAAAGTAGTGCCTGGGGCTGGGGTTATAGCTCAGCTGTCTAAGTGACTGCCTAGCAAGCACAAGGACCCAGGTTTGATCCCTAGTACTGCATGCTGTGCCACCGTGCAGGCCACCAAAACGGGGCATGGTGGCACATGGCTGTGATCCCAGTGCTGGAGAGGCTGATACAGGAGGATTACTACAAGTTCAAGCTGCCTAGTGAGACCCTGGATCAAAATGAATAAATAAATGAATCATTTTTTAAAAAAAATCTAAAAAAAATTGTGCTTTATCTTGATAATGGAAGGCAGGGAAATAACGTACTGCTGTGTGTGGTTGATGCAACGGGAGGGCAAAGCTCACAGGATGGTGAGATTGTGAAAGCACAGGTCAAAAGGGCCGGCTTCACAGAGGGGTTGGGTTTATCATCTAGGGAAGCAGATCTCAAGCTTGGGTACGCATTAAATTACCCGGGGCAGGGAGGTTGTTGAAATGTATACTGCTGAGCCCCACATACTGAATTTTAAACTCATAGGTAAGGTCACAGAGTGTCCATTTCTAATAAGCTCGTACATGGTGCTCCTGGTCCATGACAGGTTCTTTGAGATCATTGGTGTAATATATGGACATTTCGGAGCACTGTGAGCAGACCTAGCAGCAGTGACTAGAAGAAGTGGCTCTACGAGTGGTGATTGGCTACTATTACAAGTGTTTCGTATTTCTTTAATGGGGTTGTACAGAGTGAATCAAGTGAAACTGTGATAACAACTATAGGAAAATCACATATTTTCTTGGAAAAATCCAAATAGAACTTGGAAAAAATGTAAATACTTTTTTGGCTGCAGTGTAAAGTATTACTGAAAATGTTGCTAGTACTGTTGTTGCATAAGGGTGATACTTTATTACACCATTAGCTGACACAAACACCAAACTTGACAAAGAAATTATCAGAAAAACTGAGATAAAAAGGGAGATATTCTATTACGGAAGCCAGGAAATGGTATGAGTAGCCATATTCAGCATATCACTGTAAGGGGTAAAAATTCTAATCAGCAGCTATCACACCTGGAGCAGAATTCTCTCTAACTCATGGTCTTCTCTCTTGCTTGCTTTTAGGCTAACTCTGAGGCAGCCAAAGGAAAGTATGTCCACACTGGCTCCTCTGGTGCTGCTTCCACCCAGTCACTCTTCACAGCCTCCTATACCTACTAGGCCCTGGTGACATCAGACCGGTTCCAGTTTCCTAGCTGTGGTGGTAGACAGACTGAAAAGAAACCACCTTTCAATCCACCCTGCAAATTAAAGAAAAAAATTAGATGAGAACTACTACACAATCCATGTTAAATCTTAAAGTTAGGGAAAAGCAAATTAAACCTAAATATGAATATCAAGGATGTAATATAATTTCATGTAACATTTTCTTCCACTTCTAACCCAGTGCTCCAGATTATTCACCAACAAAAAGAAAACTAGCTTTCAATCCAAGTTAG